CCGCCGTTATGGTCGGTGCTGGATGCGATTGTGTCGCGGCGGCGCGGCGGCGCGTGGAGGTGAGAGGAGGAGTCGATCAGAGGGAAATCGTCGGAGGAAGCCATTACGGTTAAGGTTTGAGATTGAGGAGAATGGAAGGGAGGAGACGACGGCGTTTGAGGTTAAGTGACGGAACGTTGGAGACGGCAACGGAAGGGTTAAGGGATTCGGGAACTTGTGAGATTGTGGTGTTGTCATCAGTCGTAACGGTTCCGTCAGCTACGCCAAACGTCTGGTTACACATTTACACTTGGACCAACAACACGTCTCTATTCATTTGCTCTACAGAAATTTCCCCCTTTTTTTTTTTTCCTTAACTTTTATTTTTATTTTTATACTGAAATAAGAATATTTTAAAATATAAAGGAGAACCATGATTTTTCTCTTTGTACTTTGTAATGATTGTACACCTAAATCAAAATGATGTGTTAAAAATACTCCCTTCACCAAAATAATCCATGCGTTTCATCCAAATGTCAGTTAGTCAATTTATTTGGTTGGTATACAATCTCATTTGGGACTACTTTTATAGAAAACACTTTTACCCATATACATTTTTGTGGTGAACACTTTTATTATAAGAAACGTCAAAAATTTTCGTGTAAAAGCATTTAGAACTGCTTTTCCATAAAACACTATTGTGAACCGTAAGCACTTCTAAATGATTTTTTGTCAAACGCAGTTAAAAGCACTTTTGATTAGAAGTTAGAACTCATCAAATTGACGTTCCTCCTTGTATCATGATAAAGATTTTGGTATAAAATTGTGGTAATAGATCACGTTCAGACATCATTAATTATGGTATCAAGAAACTTTAACAAGCTTCACTGTTAGTCTTAATTTGGGATGCAGATGTCCTCAAAATTAGGCTGCAAATGCATGTTTCGCCAGTCGAATGGTAGTTTTGTCCTACTTTTCTTGGTACATGTATATCTTGATCCAATTTATCAAAGTAGATTGTTAAGAGGTGTCCAAGATTTTTTGTATCAGAAAGCTAAATCTAGTTTGTGCAGCACAACTAATCACATCCATGAGATGTGTAACCCATTATCAATCAAAGGGAACCAAATCAGAAGAGCAATTTAATCTAATAACTAGTAGTGACAAAATGAATAGAGGAAATCAAAAGGGAAGCCACTTTCTTTACCAAGCACACTAATGTTTTGATGGACTGATTTTCTTACAAGAGGAATCCGGAAAGTAATATGCATTTTCGATGTTCCATATTTCAAGGGTTAACTATAGCATATGAAAAACCTATTCATCAGGAGAGGATCGTTCATCATCAGGAGAAGATCGTTCATCATCAGAAGACCCCTCCTTTCGATCCCTTCTTTCGTTCCATCTTGCCCAGATCCACCTCAAAACCAGAAACCCCCCAATAGCATAAACCTGAAAGAAGGCAAAGTAAAATCACTAAATAATTAAAGGAAACAAGTAAAACTTAAATTTGAAGGACATCCAGATAGTCTAGTTCTTTATTTTCCTTCAGTGTCTGTTCAAATTCACAACTGGAGAAAAACTTGTTCGAAAAGGTTGTATAAATCAGTTGTCTTTCACTCTCCAAGCGGGGAGAGAAAAATACAACCTGTGCATATACCACCAGTTCCAGCTAAGTTTTTCTTCCATATCTGAAACAAAGTGTACTGAAACCTCAACCATCTGGCCATAGTACCCACAAACAAGCACAGTGCTAAAGTAGTTGAAAATTCATAGGGCAAACTGAAAAACTGCCAATCAAAAACATTAGAAAATAGTACAAAGTTTACATTGATTAAATAAAAAAAGCCAACCTGTACCAAAAAAATAATGAAAAGCCAACACAATGGCTAATATAATCAACCAAACAGTTACTGTCCTTACTAAATATTCAGATGACTGCCAAACACAACACCAAAGTCTCAAATATGTAGGTATTCCACAGCCCACCCATACCCCCTCTTATTCATAATCTTTAACTCAAAATTTAACAAAGATGTTATTCGGTATACACGATATGGCCTTCAACATGATATTTAAACCCCAAAAATGCATGATTTGCACCTATATAGACAGCCTGGAAAAGTTGCGGTCCTATCTATTTCCCTCGTTTAATCCAAGTATCAGTTTATCATAATGAGTGAAATGTGATATGACATGTGCCCAAAAACAAATGGGTGATCAGTACAACTATGAGGAGGCTAATGAATGTGTACTGAGAACAGAAAATATTCAAATTAACAGGGGTAAAAAACTAAATGAAACATGATAGAGAAGAAAGAAAATAGCTCATTGAGACAAATAACGGACAGAAAGCCGATAACTTTGCTGCTAAAGGATTGACTATTAGCATGCTATTGCATAATCTGAACTTAAGTGCAAGTTTGCATACTAGAAAGCCACAAAGTCGGAACTTCATAGCGAGCTCCAATAATTTCATCACAACAGGAGAAGACAAGGATCCACATGGTATTAACTTTCAGCCACCCACCTCAATGAGTACAGGTATACAATACGAACACAAGCGAACTGAAGGAAATGGTGGAGAGCAGGGCTAGTGACCTATCCCATCTCCTCAACTATTCCACTGTTCTTTGTTTGCTTCATGTGCTTCCTTGAAAGATGAAATATGCATCTTCTTCTTTTTTCTTTTTCTTTTGGTCAAAACAAAGATTTCTTTTTTTCTTTTTTTTTTTGAAAGAAACAAAGTCAAAACAATGAAATCCTAACCACCTTTCTTAGAGCTTCGAAATCAGTGCCACTAATGGGACTTTACTAAAATATCTAAAGATTCTGCTGACCATGAACATATAACCAGGTGTCTCACAAGAGATGCAAAGCGCATCCAGTCAACAAGTATCAAACCGTTACCAAACTGATGTTCCAAGTCCTACTGCCTTACAAGCGAAATAATTAAACCATAAACTTTGTTAATAACATTCCATAAGATACTGAAATGTTAGGTTTCAACATAAATCATTCAAATTCTTAGCAACATATCTCCATCCACTAATAAGGCACCAAAAATAGCAGATAAGTACTTCACATATTGGCCAAGCCATATATTGACTCAACTATAACTATGTAATTTCTTATCTAGTGAATTAATACTTGATGTTCATCACCCCACCTAAATCTCAATGACAACTTCCCCTACAC